AAATAAAAATTCGAAAAAGGCTTACATACATAGCTGCACCATCGCCAAGTTGACCGGCAAAATTACCAAATTGATACCCACAATAACAATGAGCTGTGGGATCACTACCAGGCCATAATTTGTTTCCTGACAAATATTCAACTAGATGATTTGTTTCTCCTGTTTTCTCTTTGCAGTTTTGTTCATCAAGATGGTTAACTTCATGACGAATATTTAGCAAACTAAGTGCATCAAGAGAAAATAAAACTACGCGGGGATTGTCTATTCTGGTTGGACTGACTCGTGTGAAACAAGCATCCGGTACAGATCGTATACTATTGGATCCATTGTCGATCGGCAGACATTTCAATTGGATATTATCAAACTGTGGACAATGTTTTGACCACGATGATCTCTCGGACAAGGAACATGTATTGAGTAGTATATGAGTTTGTTTATTAACAGTATTTGAAAAGAGACCAAGATACGTTATGTTAAAACATTGTTCCACCAACTTCTAAAACACCATATAGAATATCAACAGAATAACTGCTTCCATAAAAATGCATAATAATATTTATTTCGTGATGCAAACAAATGAATAAAACAAATAACAAAGTAGTTTATATGAATGTGTCCCAGTCTAATTCATCACGTTGTGCATCAAGGTGAGATGAATATACGGGACAACAAAGTGATAAAAAAGCTAACAGGAACACGAGTAGATATAACGCGAAGCTGTAGTAACTGTCCACACTCAAGTGACGACGGTTTGTCATGTATTAAATCACGATACTGTAAAGCTGTCCAGACCCAATTAGAAAAAACGGTATTTTCGGACGAAAGTCAGTTAATTAGGTCGCAGCACCGTAACCCATAGAAAAGTAATATCGTTTGATGCGATTGACACGTTTTTGTGCTGGCGACAATATCTTGGAGAAAAAGGCAATCGGGGAAATCGTGTTGTTTACCCGCTGTTGTAATACTGCCCCGACGGCTTTTTGTGAAGCATCCGTGCATAGGATCAGCAGTGTTGTGGGGTCAGTATTTCGGTATTGAAGCGTGGTAGCATTAGCAATCATAGATTTAGCTTTGTCGAACGCTACTTTTGCATCGGAAGGTAACTTAAATATTTGGTTCTTTTCTTTCTTGGTACCTGATTTATTGTTTTTCATTAAATCTGTCAATGGCCGCAGTACATCGCTGCAATTTGGTAGAAATCAACGATAAAAATTGCATGTTCTCAGAAAACGACGCCGTGATTTTACTGAGGTTGGTTCTGGGTAGCTGGAGATGGCTTTGACTTTTTCTTCAAGCGGTTTAATTCCTTGGGAATCAATATGGTGTCCTAGGAATTCCAGAGATGAGGCTTCAACTATGCACTTCGAAGGGTTGATTACAAAACCAAAACTTTTGAAACGTTCAAAAAGCGTGTGTAAATACAAATTCCAAACCTCTAGTTACTTCATCCATAAATCTCTGAAAGGTTTGAGCGGCGTCTTTTAGTCCGAAAGGCATCCTCAAGAATTCAAACAAACCGAAAGGTGTAATTACGGCTGTTTTGTCGATATCTTCAGGCGCCATCGGCATTTGATGGTATGCTCGGACTAGATCTAACTTTGAAAAGATCTTTTTTTCATGTAAATTTAAAGAAAAATCATGTAGATGAGGGATTGGATACCTGTCTGGGATAGTCTGGTTATTTAATCGGCGATAATCTCCACATGGGCGCCAGTCTTGGTCTTTGTTGAGAACCAAATGCAACGGCGAGGCCCATGAACTGTTAGATTGTCTGATTATCCCAAGTTGCATCATGAGTTCGAATTCTCTCTTAGCGAACTGCAACTTGTTTTGAGGGAGTCTTCGCGCTCTGGCACGAATGGGTGGTCCTGTAGTAGAGATATTGTGTTGGACATGGTGTGTGGAACATTCGCTTTGGTAATCAGCTCTGTTTATGCTTTCGTACTTCGACAGGATATCAGTGAAAATTTTGTTTTCAGGTCTTAACATTCGAACGCCATGAATTTCGTAATTCGAGGTAAGAGTGCCACTGACCTGTAAGATTGTGTTCTTGTCAATAAGTTTCTTTATCCCCATATCTACCAATAGACTGTAAGCATCAAGAAAGTCGGAAACGAGAATGGGTTGTTTGATTTCAGCTACGATGAAAACCCATGTGAAACGTCTACGGAGACCGAGATCTAAGATAAGTGATTGTTCGCCAAAAGTTTTAATGACTGTGTTATTGGCTGAGACTAGATACAATTTAGTACTTTGAGAGTGCCGTCGTTGAGAGAGGTGTAATGGGACAATGCTGAATTTGGCTCCTGTATCGACCGAAAAAGTTGAGCTTGAAATTCGATCTCTGACGTGAAATAGACGGCCGTCTCGTTTCCCTGGTAATTTGGGTTGCTTGTTTTAAAGTTGCACGGTTTAGTGCAACAGCGTGCCTTCACCCCGAACGTCACATGATACCAGCAAGTGTCTGCTGTCCGTTTGGGTGACCTAGGGCGGGATCTGGACCTTGATCGGTTTCTCAAGATAGATTTGGTAGGACGAGAGTGGATCATGGCAATGATCGCCTGCAATGATGCTACTTGCTGAGTTAAGTGTGCTATTTACTGCTCAATGTCCAGAGGGGGGTTCATCGCATCTCTACTAAAGGTTTGCACTGCATTCAAACACCGACTGTCGGGATAAATCTCCATCATCTTGTCTGCCATATCAGCTAGATCGTCGAGATTGATGAAAGTTCCTGATGCACTGAGAATTTGAGTGACGTTTTGTGGTAAACGTTGAAACCACATCTGTTTAAATAATGCATCGTCTACCTTATATGACCCTGCTAAATTTTTCATATGTCGGAGTAATTGCGAGGGTCTCTTGTCGCCCAATTTGCAAGACGTTAGCAATTGATGCAGTCTTCTCTCGTCTGAAACCAAGGTGCGTTGGATTACGGCTGTCTTTAGTTTATCATAAGGTTCAGATTCTGGCGCGTGATCGATTAAATCTCCGACTTCAGCGGCAATCTCAATAGGGAGTGCGTCAACTACATAAGCATATTTTGTTGCCTGAGATCTTATGCCTCTAGCCATGAACAAAGCTTCAATTTGCGCAAACCAGACTCTTGGGTTAACACCGTACGTTGGTAGTCTTAAGTCTGAAATTGCGTTGATCGAGCTTAAGGCATTATTTTCTGATTGTGAAGAGTTCAAGGGGTTGATCAGTGGACTATCTATATCAATGAGTTTACCAGGAGAGTTCATGATGGCAAAAACAAAACAAAAAATATAGTGTGTCGTGCCAAGTAATAATAATTATTAAAAAATATGTATATATATTTAAAAAATGTCTGTTAAAAAATCGAGGCTCATCAAATAATTGTGGTGGACCAGAGAGATCTGAACGCGAAAAGTATAAACAAAGTTACTAAATGTCAATAGTCCCAGACAACCCAAAAAGGGGAAATAATGGGGAAAAAAGGGGAAATAAAGGGGTAAATGCTTTGGTGGCGAAAGGGGAAATAAAGGAGAAAACGCGCCAGAATGTCGCCTTTTTCGCCTGTCCGGGGGAAATAATGCGGAATTTCCCCTTTTTCGCCTTTTTGTCGACAAATTACCCACTTATCGCATAAATATCCCCCGAATTGTCGCTTTTTCGCCTAAATATCCGCCGAATTGTCGCTTTTTCGCCTAAATATCCGCTGAATGTTCGCCTAAATATCCGCTGATTCGTCGCATATACGCCTAAACACACACATTACACCCCATTTTCTATCCATCGACAGAAGACCAAAGGTCTCCTGCATTCGCCTTTATTTCCAACAACACAAAAATATTTCAGTAATGCAGTTTAAAAGCGGTAAATTTTTCAAATATTGTATTTAAAAAGAAAAGCTTATTATTGTACAACAGTAGAGCACAAGCTTATGCATCCATTGTTATGCATATCCAATGCAATCGCTAATTCATTTTTATAGACAATTATCTGATAAAGAAGGAATAGGTTATGTTTTATTCATAAGCAATGTCCATTTAATCGAAAATTCACTCAAACTCAAACACATTCTCAACAGTTTCCTAAGTAAGTAAAAAAGTAAGCTGTTTTAAAGAAAAATGTTTATTGACATCTAGGTAGAACACCAAAACCATTGCACGGACTATTCGGAATTGAGGTAGTCGTCCTGTGAATTCTGAATTAAAAAAAAAGTCACAACCATATCTTAATGATGTGCTATAGCACACCCAAATACTTGAAGCTGAACTTACGGTGATGTTCGTTAATATTGTCGACTGTAACTATAGAGCCGTATGGAGGTTATCACTTTAAATCTGTACATACCTGGTTATCTTTTCTCCTAGAACGTTTTATCATCTTGTCTCGGATGTCGTGAAAGTAACCTTGGTTCGCGATGTCGTAGAGCTTACCAAGGTCTTTTTCGTTGACAGAGGATGACAAAAACCGATGAGTCAAAGCACCTGAAGTTTAAGTAATAGATAAATGTTACTTCGTATGCAGCCGTAAAACGTGCATTTCTGCAGTGCTCGTTTTGAAGAGGTGCCAAGTAACGTGAATTTACTGGCAACCTCAGGTGTCAACAGATAAGACAAAACAAACCGCATGGACGCTTTTGGGTCGTCACTTGATAGCCTAGTGACCATTGCCATCTGTAATCGTCACAAATAATTAAATTTATGTTAATGACTTACAAATCTGTCCCTCGTTTCTTTCTGCGACAAGCCGGTATCAAGCATCTGCAGTTCCTCTTCAGATGACAAAGGAAACTGCTGACTGGACAGTCCGCAATCTAATTCTTGAATCACTTTACATTTCATAAATGACCAATTTTCATTCGGTTGGTCGCTCTTCTGAAGATGTAAATCGACATGCTCTTTCGGAAAAGCGCACAGTTCCTTTCCTACAATCCACTCTTTGTGTGCTACCATTAGTTTTTTTTTGCTCAGGACGTCAACAATGACGTATTTCTTGTTAGCAGGCTGAAAATTACATAAGACGTAATTAAATGATTTATCGTCATTAATAAACACTAGTGAAACAAAATGCATTTACAATACAGTATGCAACAATGGGACTATAACTACATAATTGATACAGTTGATGGCTATACATTTACAATCAATGTCCTTAAGTGATATCCATGTGTGTTCATGGCTAACTACGGAGCACCTAAAAATTCCAATATCAGTAGATGGGAATGGATCTTCAAAGTAATTGCGTGGGTCAGTGAAAGTTCTAAATTTTAGTAGTCCATCCTCCTTTATATCAGTGATTAAACCTGGCTGGCCGTTCACTACTACTACATTATCAGGCTGACATGAAGTGATTTTACTACTGTTAAACATAATTACTTGTTTTGTAGAGACATCAGTAGCGCCTATTGCGGTAGTATTAGTTAAGCCACTAATTTGAAGCCTATCGCTGAAGGACATTCTCTCAGCATAACGCTGTGCTGCTTGCTTAGCCACTGCAAACCCACTACGCACGGAATCCTTAATTTGTCTCATATAAGACTCGAATGGAAAGGCTGAAAAACTATCTAAAGGTCCATGTGCTTGAACGTCGTCAGGGAGGTGCTGTAACGAATGCACATTGTAAACTAAGTGTTCACACCCATAACACCATTCATATTCATTCATGAATTTTAGTAATTCCATTCTGGCGGTTTCTACAACACTTTTATGGAGTTTGGGATGTGCAAGCAGATACATGGATAACGCTAAACGCCTGAAATTAAGATAATAAGGTTGTAGCAATGTCTTTTCAAGAATCACCGGGCCTAAATATAGCAGGAACAACCTACATTCAGACGCTTTCCATGCCGATACAAAGTCTAGTGTACGGCATTTACGGGGAAAGTCAGAAGGAGTACTTGCCACACAACCGGATATTAAATTGTTTATGTCTCTAATTGCACATGGGTTAAAGTTCCGCATTCTTCGGCGTGCTAAATCTATCCATAAATTAGCTAGTTTTTTTGTAACTCCAAGGTACACCATGTGCGTAATATTAATATATACAGTTAATTGTTAGAAATACAATAGAAATTAGGGACGTTACTTAAATTGACCAAACGTTGCGTGTTCTGATTAGGTCCGGTAATGTAAATCCACAATTATAAATGTTTGATGATTCTGAGCATGTTGACGAACTCTCCAATGATATAATTCGACGTAGGATGTGATATATTCCGATTACAGTCTATAAATGTAGATAGTATTTGATTTAGACTTCAGTTAACCCAATCACAAATGAAAATAGAACGAGGAATGTGTGAGTAGTAATGTATTTGTTAGCCAGCAAGAATATGTCACGCTATGTTATGATCACAACGAAAAAAGTGTTCAAGGTCATTTACTAAAACAACAGTTATAGTCATTTAATGTTCAATATGCATACAGTGGAAGGTTGACAAAATAAATACAAATAACATTGAAAACTATTTACAAAATAAGGTTGTCAGGCCTATCTACACATGGGTAACCAAATTGTTTGTTCTCCGTTGAGGAGGGGATGCAGTGTGACGATTGTAAAAAGTGGTACCACAAAATGTGTACACGACTAAGTCCGACGGCTTACAAAAAATGCTCGAAGCCTAACTCGCATTGGCTTCGTATGTTCTGCTGTACGGATAAAAAGGTACCAATTTAAGAGTCTATGGGACTATTGCCTTTGGCCTGAAAGAAAAACGATTGCGGAAGCAATGATAACAAGAGCACTGACGGAGTAGAATGTGTCAGTGAAGTTAGTGCTGCTACTGGACCCGTTAAACACCTGACTGTGGTTGACGGGAACGTGAAATCTCCGTTGACATTAACGGGGAATGAAGTGCCGCTTGATATTAACATCGGCAATCATACACCTCTAGTCGAAATAGAAGATCCGGATAAAACTGTCACCGTTCCACGTGGTCCAGTTGTGGCTGTTCTGAGTGGTGACAAATGGACTTCAGTATAGAGAAAAAGAAATGGGAAGAAAAAGACCTTTGGCAAAACGCAGCTGGTCAACAAGGCATTGGGAGGGACGTTATCAGAAGAAAAATCTTCACTGCGTGACAAGACAGAGCTCTCTGAGAGATCAGTCATTTTTCATAAGATAAGAGAATCTTCAGATAAAGAACCAATTGGGAGATTTGAACACGATCTCAATCATATTAAGACATCATTGAGTAAACTAGTCTCAAATACAGCTCCAGGAGTCAGTATTTGTAAGCTTTACAGAATAGGAAAAAAGGTGGATTCCGAAAGTCCTCCGTGAAACGGGCTCCTGAATGTTGCATTCAACACGGTGGAAGAGAGGAACCTGATTTTAAGTAAATCACGTAAACTGATAGGATCCGGAATATATGTCCGTGAGGATCTCAGCCTAGTTGATCGTATTAAGAGATGAGCTGCAGAAGCGGAAATAAATGAACGTTGCCAAAACTGGGAACGAAACCTTGTTCTTAAGGGTTTTGAAGTTGTAAAAGTTCGGAGCAAAGGGATCCCTAAGCCACTCTGAGTGGCAAATAAAAGCTCTCCACAGACTTAAAGGTATGCTATACAAATGCTCGCAGCTTACTAAATAAAATGGCGGAGCTCAAGTATGTGGTGAACAAAGAAAAACCGGACGTTATTGCTGTCTCGGAAACTTGGTTGACGTCAGAATTATTAGACAGTGAAATTCAGTTGACTGGTTTCATAACCAGTAGGGCTGATAGATTAAACCGAAGGTTAGGCGGGGTTATTCTGTACAAGAGAAGTACCCTAACCATAGGATTAGCTGAGACAGTAGCACATGTTTCAGGGACATGTGAACTGGTGAGATGTAAGTTGAAATGCCGAAGGCAAGATATTGAATTAGTTGTAGTATATTGCAGTTCAGAATGTGTAGCAGATGATTTTATCCTAAGTAAACTTAAGTCTTGGTGTAACAACCGTAATAGTCTTGTAGTAGGCGACTTTAATGCACCACATATAAACTGGGTTAACTTAGAAGTAGGGTAATCCATATCGTCGTTCGACTGCAAACTCTTAGAAACCTCGATTGGATTAGCATTATTCCAACACATTAGAGATCCCACAAGATTCGACTTAAGAAACTCTTCCTTTCTGTTAGATTTATTTTGCACATACGGTGCTGACGTTGGTCAAATGGCTTTTCTTCCATAGCTTGGGAGAAGTGATCATGCAGTCATCTTATTCAAATTCATGACTGAGATTGCCTGTCAAACAGTTGCACCGGCCCGTCCCAACATATGAAAAGCAGATATGCAGGCAATTAACTCCGCAGCATCGTCTGAGAACTGGGAAATTGATTCAAAGGCATCAGTACAAGTAACATGAACTCTATTCATATAGATATACAATCGGGTAACTCAACCATACATACCCTGGACTGTCCCAAAGAAAAAGAAGCACGGACACTCATGGACAGGGTGGGATATTCGACGCTTACTGAGACAAAAGAAGAAATGCTGGGACGTAGCAATCTGCCTTGGCACAGCAGGTACGCTGGAACGCTATAGATCGGTAAGAAACGAGTGTTTAACGAAAATTCGGGAAGCTCAAAGAAAATATGAAATGCGGCTGGCACAATCTGCACTCAATCACCTCAAGAGAATATTCTCGTACATAATCTACAGAACAAGGATGCATCATTGGATTCCCAACCTAAATAAAGTAGGAAGTGAATCTGAAGTGATAGAGGAAGATCAGGAAAAAACAGAGGCTAAGGCTGAATATTTTGGAGCAGTTTTCACCAGGAACCTCCTCTAGAGAAATAACCAGACCTCAATATACAGTCAACAAACCAGCTGCTCACCGTGGACTTCGACCGATACGCTGTGCTTAAGGCTCTGATCACCTTAAACATGTAGAATTCAACATAACCAGATGGACTACTCCCCAAAATCTTGAGACATATTGTCCAATATATCGCGGCTCCACTGACTATGATATTCAAAATGTCACTTGATCAAGGTGTGTTACCTATGGACTGAAAGGACGCAATCGTCACTTCCATACATAAAATAGGTCCACGAAAGCTCCATCGAATTACAGACCCGTAAGCCTCACCAGTGTTGTAATTAAAATACTGGAAGGAATAATCAAAAGGACCGTAACGGCATTTATGGAAACCAATAACGTGTTGAACATAGCACAACATGGTTTTAGAACAGGTTTATCCTGTACAACAAACCTCCTTATAGATAGGGAGTTCTGAATTGATGCGCTAGACAACCGAAACTCAGTGGATGTTGTCTACATAGATTTCAGTAAGGCTTTTGACAAGGTGCCAACAAATATACTGTTATTGAAGTTGGAAAGCCTCGGTATTTCCGGACCTCTTTTAAAACGGATTAAGGATTTTCTAGTAGGTCGTAGACAGAAAGTAAGAATAAATTCCAAGTGCTCCATCTGGAGACCAGTATTTGGTGGAGTACCGCAAGGTTCCGTCCTAGGTCCTCTACTTTACATAATGTACGTTAATAATCTTACAAGTATAGTACAGTCTCCAATATTATTATACGCTGACGATGTAAAAATTTGGCGAGTAATAACTGGAGACAAAGACGCATGTGCTCTTCAGGCAGACTTAAATAATATGATAAACTGGTCTAAAGAGTGGCTGATGCTTATCAACGCGGAAAAGTGTGTCTACATGCACTTGGGGATTCAAAGGTTAATAAGTACAACATAGGGGATGTGTCATTACCCGTAGTTTGGTTGCATAAGGATCTAGGGGTGACAGTGAGTAATGATTTTACAACGACGGCCCATTGACGGGAGGTCGCAGCCTGGGGGCTTCGAACCCTCTGGACTTTTAATGGACAATCATTAAGTTAGATACTACCATATTCATCACAATATACACATCCTTATTGAGAACTAAGCTAGAGAACTGCTCTCAGGCTGCAAGCTCCTGTTTAAAAGATGATTAGGACATACTAGAAAACGTACAGAGGGCAGCTACACATGCAATTTCGGAACTCCGGGGTTTATCATATAAAGAGCGGCTTGAAAACTGGAGCTCTTTACTTAGTACTATCGCAGACTAAGTTCAGATCTAATATTGATGTACAGAAAATTAAGACATGATTTTGGACCTAACTTTTTCTCTCTTTTTCTTCCCAATAGATCTGGACACCTCAGAGGACATAGCAGGCGAGTAGAAAAGCCAAGAACGAACAAAATACCCGTGGCATACAGGTTTTCACACCGAGTCATCAATACTTGGAACCTGCTGCCAGTTGCAGTGGTGTCCGCACCTTCAATTGACTCTTTCAAGAGAAGACTGGACACTCAAAGAAGCATACTAGAAAAGGAATAACATAGGCCGTACGCCTTCTGTCCTTAATACACAAATCTGATTCTGAATCTGAACCATAACTGGATACGTTCATTCTTCAAGTAACGAAGACGATGCCATCGTGATGATTGGTCCCATATGGGACCAATCTTCAATGATATCATGTTATTTCGTCGATTTGCAAGTTAGGACAATTTTGAGACCTATTTGAAAGAAGTGCATAAGTTAATATGACTTCTTTGGTTAATAATTATTTTTGTAGTATACTCATACTAAGGACGTTATATCAGTATGTTGGTATTGTCAAGTTCACTTAAAACACTTGCCGTTTTATTCCAACGACCTTGATCG